ATACTACCTATAAGTAGAAGGTTAGAGCTAAATAGGTTAGCGCTATTTATAGTGCTAAAACTAATTTACTATAGTTTACGTAGGTCTAAGAGTATACCTATAAGAGAATAGTAAAGACTTAGAATACTAAAAACAAAGATAGTAAAATAACTATCTTAGGTATAATAAGCTTAGATTATAGATTAAAGTCTACTAACTTACGTTGCGTATATCTAGATCTATCTACTCTTACTAGAAGCCTTTCTCTACCTCTTCTCTTTTGTATTATATCTTTAGAGAATAGATTTCTGCGCTAGTTATTAGAGCTTATACTCTTCTCTCTAAAAATACTTAATAAGCTATTTAGAATATAGATAGTAATTATAGGTTATTAGATCTAGCTTATTAAGATATGTTGCTACTATATTACCTACTATAATAAGAGAAGTATAGTCTTTATAGATAAAGAGCGTTATAGCTATATAGGCTACCTTAATAATATTTAAAATTATAACTACTAGTGTAATAGAGAAGCTAAACTATAGTTTATAGAATTCTTTAACTTACTTAACTATATAATAATTAGACTTTATATTTAATGTACTAGCACTAAATAAACTAGATAATCTAAATAATTAACTAAATAACTTATTACTTATAATAGCTACTTAGCTATTTTTACTATATTTTTTTACTTTTTTTATTTATACTAATATTAAATAAAAATTTTATATCTAGCTAAAATAGCTAGTACTTACTTATATTATACTTTATTATTAAATATAGTACTTAAAATAGCTTACTTATAAAGTATTAGCTAAGAGCTTAGTAGCTAAAGTTAATAAACTAGATTTAATACTACTACTTTTTTAGTAATTAGAAAGTTTTTAGCTACTAAGTTATTACTTATAAGATATTAGCTATATATACTATATTTATATTCTTTAGTACCTTATACTTAATTTTATAAACTTTATTTAGTAAAAAATATTAAAAGATATCTAGCTTTTATTTTAGAACTACTAAAAGATTTTAAAATTTTAATATATTTAGTATATATTACTATTAGTACTAAGACTTTTATATAAACTAATAATATAGTACTTTTAAGGCCTTACTAAGAAGAGAAACTTTATATTAAGTAACGTCTATATTATTAACGTCTTACTATATTTAATCTATTATTAGCTATTAATATAATATAACTTAAGCTAATAAAAATAACTACTTTATTATAGCTTAGTTCTTAAGAGTAACTATAATAGTAAAATACTAATATAGCTACTATTTATTTAATAGTATTATTATACTAAAAGTAAGCTTTAAATACTTTATTCTCTTTAGTTTATTTATTACTACTTTAGCTAAGAATTTTAATAAACGCTTTACGCTAGTATATAATAGCTACTTTTATCTTTATAAGTAGAGCTATTTATAGTCTAAGCTTTTATATAAAGTTATAAGTATAAATAGTATAAATAATTAATAAATTACTTTAAGTAGAAAAAGTAATACTAGTAATATAATAACTATTTTATTACTTTTTTTAAAGTAAGTATAGCTTATAAAAGAACTTTTATATATTACTAGTAAGTTACTTAAAAGCTTAGCTATAATAAAAAATTATAAAAAGTTTTAGTCTATATATTAAAAGCCTTTATAGTAGTAGTATAATAATTTTAATAGTATTAATAGTAGTAATAGTCTTAGTAGTCTTAAAATATAATATAAGATAAGTAAAATAAACTTTAAAAGCTCTAATAATAGCTTTTATAATAGCTTTAATAATAGTTTATATAATAATTACTAAAATAGCTTAACTAAGAGCTTTTTTTTTAGTAGTAGTCTTAAAGTAGTTTATAAAAGCTTTAATAAGTAATATAGTATAAAAATATAATTAATATAAGTATAAAGATAGAAAAGTAATATAACTAGTAATAAGATTAGCTTTAAACTTACTAATACTAGAAAAACTTATAAAAAAGTAGTAATATAGTTAAGAGCTTATTTAGTTAGTATAGCTTTTAGTATTAGATTTAAGCTACTATTTATATCTTTAATAAGTTTTTAAATTTCTAATTTTACTATAAGCTATAAAATAAAAATAAAGATAAAAAATAGAAAGTATATATATAGAAGTATAATTTTATAAGCTAAGATTTTAGTATTTTATTACTTTATAATTTATAGCTTAGTTAGTTATAAGCTATTAAGAATATATAATTATATTATAATTCTTTTTACTATAGTATAAGTAGATATTAGTATTTATAAAATAGTTACTTTACTACTTTAAATTTTAAAAGCTTTAACTATACTAAAAGTAGTAGTACTAAAAACTTAAGCTTTAGTCTACTTAACGCTTATACTTCTAAATATAGAATTTTAATTTTTTTAAAAATATTTTTTTTTATATACTAGTAATAGACCTTACTCTTTTTAGACTAGTTTATACTATAAAATTAGTTTACTAATAAATATTTATATTCTTAGTATATATAATATACTTTAAATCTTCTTAAAAAAGAGAGAGTACTTTTTAGTATTCTAAGTTTTTATATAATATAATAGTATAGTAGTAAAACTTTTAAAAAAAATAAGTTTAAAAATAATAATAAAATAGTAATAAGTAAATTTTAACTTTACTATTTTTTCTTTTACTATAGTAGACTTTTTAGAAAATAAAAGTATTATTAAAATATTAAATAGTAGTAATATACTATAAAAGCTAAGCTTAGTAGCTAAGTTAATAGTAAGTATACTAAAGGCTATAGTACGTATATAGTATACTTAAGAAGTAGTACTTATAGTAGTTACTTTTTATATTTTTTTTTTTTAACTTATACTTATATATAATTTTTTTTTTAGTTACTATTTACTTTATTTTATAGTACTATAATAATATAAAGTAAAATAAGCTACTTATAACTTTTATAATATTAATAACTTTAATAAAAAGATACTTTTATAAATAAGAGAAATTATAAGTATAATATACTATATAATAATTAATTTAATTACTATAAGATCTCTAATCTAACTAATTACGCGGTACTTTATAGCAACTCTAAATATTATAGCCTTTAACTATATATAAAGAATAGCGCTACGTGTTTAATAGATAAATCTCTAGTAAGGCTATTTTAGGTAGTCTCTATATTATAGGCGTAAGGTTAAGTTTGTATAGTAATATCTAGTCTATACAATCTAATAGAAAATTAATATTATTCTAAATATAATATAAGGTATTAGAGTTATACTATAGTTACTACGTTGTGTTATTTTGCTATACTATTAGGTAGTCTTACATAAGATAAATATTACCTATACTAGAGACGTAATAGTTATTATACTAAGTAAAGTAATCTAACGTGCTAATATTCTTATATCTTAGTATTATACTATTCTTTCTTAAATTAATAATATTAGAGAGATTAGGCTAATATTTGTTTATCTCTAGCACTATTTTCTTAGTAATATTTTTTATAAAGTTCTTAAAGTTAGACGTGTTATAAGACGCTCTATAGAACTAATTATTTGTTATAGAAAGAACTACGTAGTTATTAGCCTAAAGTTTAGCGAAGACTACTAAATTAAAAAACAGGTAGAGTAGCACAGAGGTAAAGAGCAGTAGAAGCTAGATAGCTAATCTACTGCGTCTAATGTGTCTAAAGTTGCGCAAGTTTAGTACCTTAATGTGCAGCTATACTCGTTGCGCATAAGCCTAATTAAGCTCTACTCTATTTAGGGCGCTAAGAACCTGTATGCAATAGTTGCTTGCGCATAACAGTAGTGTGCTTAGGATGTTAATAAGCAGATAAATTCTAACGTTTAATCTTCTTATCTGTCTATAATTACTAATGCTTAATGTTCTGATAGTTCCTTTAATAATGTTTTTAGGGTTCTTCTACACCTATATCGTGACGATGAGGTTAAAGATAGTGATTGTTATCGCTCCTACGAGCGACAAGACTGCTCCGGGTCGCTATCCTGTTAGAAATGGTCGCCTGGACGGCCGCCGAGGCTGAAACACCGCGGATCGTGTTAAAAGCAAGAAGTCGTCGTCGTGCGATTCGTTTCCATTGCTCGTGGCAAAGCTCTCCGGTTTAGTTGAGCTAGTACGTGATTCATGGATAGCATCAATGCTGTAGTCGCTGTTTTGCTCGTCCGTAGCCTCCCTACGCTGGTTAGCGGCAATTGCGAGGTTACAATGACGTCATAGCCACGCGCCTAACTCGCACCTTTCGAATAGCTGGATCCCCCGAGGACCGACATCCACACTCGATCGCTCTTCCCTATATCGAGATTCATACATGGCATGTGAATAGTGAATCTAATGTCGCATTGAGATGGTATCGCAAAGCATCTGAACGCCCATGGGGTTTAATTGTTACCTGCCTGTGTTCTTATCTCGGACCTGAAACTCCGCCAGACTTTCTACTTCCCGCTCGAACTGCGCCCCAGCCGCGCCAGACATTTGCCAGGTAGGGAAACGCATTTCGATCATTCGCTGCGTGTTGGGTCGTGGGGGCCGAGCGGAAGCGAGCGGGCCGCATCTTGGTTCATGCCCAGCTGTGGTCTGCCTAGGGACTTAGGTAGAGTGCCTATCCTGCAACGCCAATGTCCTGCTCAGCCTCATCTTCTGAATATATCCCCGTGCTTACTGTACTGCTATCCTCACCGGTCGCTGCAATTGCGTGGGAATGAAAGGGGGATTAACGTTAACTCCGTGTCACCAGCACCCGTGGATTCGCCAACCTAACGCCTTCATCTGCAGAGGCTCAAGTTTCTGTTCCATCGTGGGCAAAGTGGCATATTAGAGTCCAACATGCGCTCTGATCTAGCTTCCGAAATTCTCACAGGTACGTGTGTGTGTGACGTCAGAGTACCCAATATAACACGTGACGACCATATAAGTTGTTGGAGGGCCTTGATACGGACTTCCCATACAACACCACACTCTAGAGACAGCTTGTTTCATTCGCTGTATCGACACATATCCAATATCAACGCATAACATCATGTCGGACGATTGGTTTACTTCTAAACTTGCCCCCGAACAGGAAAATCATCCTCAGGAAGTAGAGGCTCTGAAAGATTACCTATATGAAAAGACCACCGCAGCGGAAGCAGCTCAGACTATCACGCGCCAGGTAGTGACTTCAGCCTCCCCTAGAAACGATCTAGCTCGCCTACAAGTCCTCCTAATCGACGCTCTTGTAGACCAACCCGGCGATAGTACCAGCCGTGAAGAGCCCTTGATATTTCTACTGCGCGCCATTGAGGAGCTCGAAGAACCCGATTTCGAAGTTCTCGAACCAGCGGAGCGGCCACAAGCGAAACTTTGGAAAGGCTTTCCGTATTTCGCCAATCGATGGTACGACATCGGTTATCGATCCGGAAGCTGGAAAATGGATGCGGAGAAGGCGAGTGGGCCACAACGTGACGCATTACGCAAAGAGCACGTGAGAAGGGCTGAGGTTGAAGCGCGGTTGGTATTCGAGGGGCTTGCGGGTATTCCTATCCACTGGGGATATGAAGTCATTGAGGATTCTCTGAAGAAAGACGCGCTGCTGGATTTCGAGGTGCCGGCTGCGGCGGCGTGGCTCCGTGGGTGTGGGAAGCGGTTTCGACAGGGCGCAGAAGAAGGGGAGAAAACATATGCGTTGGGTGGTGAAGCGATGAGTTTGGAGCGGTGGTCGGAGTGGAAAGCGCGGTTGCTACAGGTATTAAACCACTCGAGAGTTGTTCAGTTCGCGGCGGTCATGGCACTTAATGCTATAAATGCAGCAAACGGAGAGCAGGCGCTAGGATCGGGCATGATGTAGTTTGTACTCGAACAAGGCTGTATACCACAGGTTTGATCTTGTGTTGCGGTTGGAATACTACGTGGATTGCAGTATGAAAGTGACAATATGTTCTTGACTCTTACAAGCGCACCTGGGAGAGTATCATGGTTGCCTTCAGCGCAACACAACTTCCATCAACTCATGCCCTTCCGACATGCACTCCGCATCCATTTTACCATCAATGTAGGCTTCGCCAAGAAATCTGTACTCCTGTGGTCGATTATAGCTACCTGACCGACGAAGAATGACAGGTACGCTGCACCCATACAAGATCAAAATGACATCGTGCTTTGTGGTGTCTAACGGGCCGAGCCCTACGAGATCCTCGGAAGTTCTCACCGAAGTTGGTGAAACTGGCGATGTCGGGATTGAGTGCGAAGGTGGCGAGGCGGCTGGAATAGTCGACCTCCCTTGAAGGATTACTCTGTTGGAGGTCACCGCTCGGACACGCTCCAAGTAGTCTTTGACAATGCTCTGGGGTGATACAGATTCATCTGCGCGCAACAGGTCGGTCGTATCGATATCGCCGTTTGGAGTCTCGTTAAGTAGGCAGTAGTTGCAAGCTCGAGAGTAATACGTCGGTACATCTGAGCCGTTGGGTCCACGACCGGCGACCAAAGTACGGCGGAGTTGATCGGGCGCTGGCTTATTTGCCGACGCATCTCGGTAAGTCCACCCCAGCCTTTCCAACCCTCGTTGCGGAATAAGGCCGGATCGTATCGGAGGTGAGCTCCAATTCACTCTCCCGATAAGATAGCCAGATACTGTCAACGAATTATCTTGTGGGAAGACGGAGAGCCGTGGACCTGACTTGGGACTTGGTGACCACTCTCGAGCATCGCCGTCCCACGGGACGGTGGTGTGGAGCTGATTGGATATCGTTGTAGCTCCCCAATCCCTCGCTTCACCAGACAAGGGTGACCTCTCAGTTGCTGCATACCCGCGTCGGATGTAGTCTGCTCAGCGAAAGTCAAAGTTGCTATCCAGTGCAGACTAATCACCTGTCCACAATCTAGCTGGATACTTTTCAGGCTCTGCGCATGTCCATGACATGATTCCGGTCGTGATATTTCATCTTTTGGCTCTGCGCGCACGCAGCTATAAGGTCTGATCTGCCCTCGAGTATCTGCCGGCCTGTAGGTGATGGAGAAAAGTCATGCATGTGATGGCATGATCACCACCTGGGCAGAGTCTTCCTCTTTCCAAGGTCATATCGACCTGAGCCAGCTGATGAATCCATGCCCAGGTGGCGTTGATCCTGGGTTTATCAGGCCCGTTCCGTTCCAAGAGGCTTATCGAAACCGCCTAGGCGATGCAATCTTTCAGCCATGCAGGCGGTAGCTGGGAAGATGATTGCGACCTTTCAGCCTTGGCGTCAAAGTACCTAGGTACCTAGGTATGTGAGCGAGACCATTTGTGGTAGTATAACTCGAACGATTAACTACACGAAGGTGTATCCATGGACAGTACGAGTTGCGTGCAGTTGGCAGGTCCGCCTTTGCAAGGTGTGTGTGTGTGTTCGCGATACGTAGGTGGGTGGATGCGGAATGGCCCCCGCAGATGTGGGTAATTGCGATCTGCATCGTGCGCTTGGGCTCCTTTCGCGTCTCTCGTCTTCGCGGGTAGCCAGCCTACTAACACTTTCTGCTCATTTCAACTTATTGCGTGCTTGATAACGCATCCACCAGCCTGCGCAAACGATGCGCGAGGTCATACAAGCCTCGTTGTGTGTTCAGCGTTGGATCGCTGATAGGTGTGCAACTGCTGTACCTTGTTTGCCGAGGGCTTTCAGCACTCGATGACGGAACGGCCGTCCCATGCATACTCCACTACGCGCGCCTGGCGCGTTGGCAGTGTCGGCGATGCAAGTACTGCAGCCTAAGGCTTTTTCAGCCTTGGTGTCTATGGCAAGAAAGTGTCTTTCTGATATTATGCCTCGCTCAGCCTGGAGGTTAACACGTTGTTGGACTGCGCCACAACAGGTGCAACGCCACCGAGCTCATATAGGCCTTCCGTGATCGTCGCTGAGCAAAGCATTGCCATTGAACGACTATGGACCCTCTCAGCGTCACCGCAAACGTGATTACGGTATTGCAGGTCGCCAACTCCATTATAACAATATGCTACGAAGTCCGTTCAGCGCTCAAGCAGAGTCCTTGGTCCCTCACCAGAACCATCGACGAGATAAGAGACCTCCGAAATGTGTTGGAGAGCTTAGAACAGGTCTGCCGCGCGCTCGACACATCAAAAGAGTCCGACACAGCACGTTTCCGCACATTCCGACTACTATGCGAGTCCGAGACCAGCCCGTTAAGCCGCTGCCTCCAGGAGCTATCGGATCTAGAGAAGAAGATCAACTCCGGCAAGCAGACTCCTGGAAGGTCAACTCTGTTGGCGAAAGCGCGAGTGTTCACCCAGGTTATGGGTTGGCAGCTGAAAGAAGGTGACGCGAAAGTATGTCTGGAAAGAATAGAGCGGTGCAAAAGCACTATACTTCTGGCGTTGACGGCAGATGAGACGTAGGCTGCTCCCACTTCATCACTCATCTTACTCCCAGCTCATCAAGCCTTGTAGAGCTCTGCTCCTTGACATCAGGAAGATGACCATCTCTCTAAACGAGACCACGGCCCATGTGCATGGCAATGTTTCCAAGCTCCTCACTAGGATAGAGAGCGCAGAACTAGGTATGTCTCTTTATAACGTGCAACTCAGCAGCTGATGCGCACAGATGATCGACCCGAGCTCTTACACATTGGCTTGCTCCAGTGACGCCGTGGGAGAGCCATGAAGCAGCCGCTTCTGCAAGGAAATCTGGAACAGGCGGCTGGTTCATCGAGTCGAAGGTGTTTCAAGCCTGGGCTGTCTCTGGAAATGCTGGACTATGGCTGAGCGGCTTTCGTATGTAACATTGTGACATCAGAAGTGGCCGTGCTGACATCTTCGCTTAGCTGGGTCTGGCAAAACTATCCTTTTGTGAGTATGTGTTGAACTCTCGAGTATGCAACATCTAACTTGACCGAAGCGCAAACGTCATCCAGTCTCTCGAGAGTTTATTGCCTTCTTTGCCGCAACCCACGTTGGCGGCGTTCTTCTATTGCGACTTCCGCAAGGCCGAAGCACATGACCCCACTAATATTCTAGGCTCTTTGGTCGCGCAGATATGTTCCCAAACCGGAGCCAGCTATAACGAGTTAGAAGCTGCTTTTGATCATAGTCGCCATTCGAACAAACGGCCATCCATGGCCTTGCTGAGAGATATGCTATGTTTGCTTTCCGCGTCGAGAAGAATCATCTTGCCAGTCGATGCGATTGACGAATGCGTTCAGCGGAAGGAGTTATTGTCATCCATGGCTTACCCCCAGAGCCTGGGAAAGAATATCAGCATCTTCCTTACGAGTCGGCACGAGCTCGATATCCAGGATGCACTGGCTTCATTCGAGCTCATTCAGATGGAAGGCTGGACAAGAGAGGTCGATGAAGACATCAAAACGTATATCGACCACAGACTACAAACTGATCGAAGTTTGTTACGACTGAAACCGTCTGTGAGGGATGAGATTAGTGTATGTTTACATGAAAGATCTTGTGGAATGTAAGTGCCTCTTTCATGAACTTGCGTCACATGAAAGTAACAACACAGGTTTCGATTGGTTCAGTGCAGCCTTGATCAAGTATCTGCGCTTCGTACCGTCCGCGATATCCGGACCACTCTCCAGCACCTCCCACAGGAGCCCGGACAGATATACGAAAGCATATTAATGAGAGTTTCCGCCGCTGATACACCCATCGTTCGCAAGGTCCTACTCTGGCTCTCATTCACGGTGTTGCCAGTTACACTAGAGGAGCTTCACTCTGCTATCGCTATTGAACATGACTGCGAAGAGCTGGATGAAGACTCGTGCCTAAGCAGCGCAGAAGAAATAATTGCTGTTTGCGGCAGCCTGATCACAGTCTCAACGAACGGGCCAGGCCATGTCCGTCTCGCTCACCTTTCTGTGAAAGACTACCTGCTTTCAGAAGACATTCGCAACGGCCCTGCGACAACCTTTGCGCTCAATCGAACAGCAAGCTATCGCGAACTTGCTTTGGACTGCCTAACTTATCTCTCTTTCCGGAGCTTCCAGAGCGGCCCTTCAGCATCTAAGGACGACTTCGCTGCACGCTTGGCAAACTACCCTTTCCTACGCCATGCGACCACATCCTGGACATACTATCTACGGGCAGCTGAAACTCCAGAGAAAGCATCGATTCAACATGACGAAAAGGTTCTTGCGTTCTTTTCCCCGTCCAATCACGAAGCGTTCATGTCCTGGATCCAAACTTTGAACGCCGGATCTTCCTCGGCTGGCAGCAGTTGGTCTTCGTATCCAAAGCATGCAACTGCTTTGTACTACGCAGCATCTTTCGGGTTGCTCCACGTATGTAAGCATATCATCCATCAAGGAGTAGACTTGAACGTCCCAGGAAGTCGATACGGAGGTACCGCGCTGCATGGAGCCGTGTGTCGTGACCAACTGTCGGTCATTCGCGCAATATTAGAGGCGGGTGCGGACGTCAACAAATGTGATTTTGACAAAGTTACTCCATTGCACACTGCTTCAGCCGAAGGCTATGCGGAATGCGTCAAGCTGCTGCTCCATTATAGGGCGAACAAAGATGCGTTAGACAGAGGTGGAGAAAAGCCTATAGATTGGGCTAGGAATGCTGAGCAAGATGAGTGTCGAAATGTGCTCGATGCGAATTTTGTGGAGATTGCAGAACCCTTAGCTGGTGCGGACGAGGCGAAGATGTGGACTGGATGGAAGGGAACGTACGTTCCTGTTTGGTCCTCGCGTGTATAGTATTCTCGCTGCGCGAATACTTAGGTCTGTCTTCTAACGTTATGCTCGGAAAAAAAAATCACGTCGGGGCACAAAGGCAAGCTGCGTCGCTATGATCTCATGAACGCCCTCATCTTTCGTCAGATCAACCGATCCAATGATAGCTGAGAACTTGATCAATTGCTGCATAAGTATAGTACATGCTTCTCTACTATGAGTATGCATGAGCGACTAGGTTTCTGACGCCGCGCATGGCAAAATGTGAGGCTGATGACAGTTGCAGAGCAACGATGGAAGCGATAGCCAACGAGCGGGTGATGATGCGCCAAGATCCCAATAGGTTAAAGGTCCGGACGGAGTTACCTAGGGCTATCCACAAAGGCCTCGGGAGGGCCAGGCCCGTGCCGTAGCTGTTCCCCCACCTGCACGACAATGCTCCCTCACGCCGCCCTAAATGTAAAAGAAGAGGCAAAGCCGTCAACCGCAGCGAGTAAGCTCGCCTTTACGTGAAATCGCCTGCGTATCGACAGGCAAGTTACCGTGCCGTGCGCGCAGACGGGCCAATCCTCCAATTGTTACCTAGGTACTCTGCTATCTCCTTCACTTCAAGATTGCATCTTTCTAGCCTCGATAGTACTTTCTGCTAGCGAACCATTTACCGACGGGAGAAGATGAGAGCTGTTCACAGACGCAATCAACCAAAGGACTCCTCGTGCCTAGGCGACATCCGAACGCAACTTCAGATACCGACGAGCTGGTCGTGAAACCTCGCGTAGATGCAGGCTCGTTGCGTGGCTATTTTGGTACACACTACGTCCTTCGCAACTGATTAGACCTACACTGGGTTCAAAGTTGGATAGAGATATCGCAATCATCAGACTCTTCATCACGCCTAATGCTTCGCAGTCTGACGGTCTCCCACGACCACGACGTATCTCCACATCCTTTCCCCCGTCACCTGAACATGGACAAAGGTTCTGCACTTGTCGCGGTAATTGACCCAGATTGCCACGAGACCCCGCACGAGAAGACGCACAATTTCGAACGCACCACCCTCCCCTCAGGCCCTCCAAGCAGCGGCGGATTCCAACGCTATATAAATCAACTCGCCATCAACAACTTTGGATTCACACTCCAAGTAGCATGGGAGGCTGTTGGTCTCTCATTCCAGCTTGCATGGCTGAACGGTGGTCCTGCCGCGCTCGTCTGGGGATCTATGATCGCTGGCTTCGGCTCCACCCTTGTTGCTACAGCTTTGGGAGAAATGGCCTCCATGGACCCCACCGTAGGTGCACAGTACAGGTGGTCGGCGCGCTTCGCTCCGTTTGCTCCTGAATTCTGGGGGTTTATCCAGGGTTGGATCACAGTCATTGCGTGGGTATGCAGCTGCGCGGGCGCTATCGCCTTCACGTCTAATACTTTGTCCGGCTTGATCATCTTCAACAGCTCAACTTACGAGCCAAAGGGCTGGCACGCGACGATGTTTCTGATCGCCCTTCTCATTGTCCCGCTGGTCATCAACCTTTACTTGCGAAAGATCATCAACTATCTGGAAACTATTGGCGGCGCTCTCCACGTCATTCTCTTCATTGCTATCGTTGCGACACTTTGCACGCTTGCGAAGCGCAGTACACCCGAGTACGTCTTCATGACCTTGCACACAGACGCCGGTTGGGAAAATCCCGGTGTCGCATTCTCTATTGGCATGCTCGCTGTAGCATATCCCATCAGCAGTTTTGATGGTGTCCTCCACATGAGTAAGCTGCGCACCTCAACTCAACCTCCCATGCCAATGCTAACGTAGTCCGCAGTCGACGAGACTAAAGAACCTCGGAAGCGGGTACCAAAAGCTATGGTCCTAGCGACGTCTCTGAACGCAATCATGATGATCGCTTTTACTATTTGTTTGATGTTCTGTATCGGTGATGAAGAAGCCGTCGCGAATTCGATGTTGCCAATTACTGAGGTTTTCTACTCCGCGTAAGTGCCATCTGGGAGGCGATGTGGACGCGACACTGATATATTACAATAGCACAGGATCCAAAACAGCAGCAACGGTAATGACAGTTTTGATGGGAATCGAAATAATGATCGGCAACTTCAACACTGTCGCGTCCGTAGCTCGATTGGTCTGGCGATTCGCATCCGACAAGGGCCTTCCTTTCCATCAGCATTTCACCTACGTAAGTTCTCTCCGAGCTCAAATCGACGAATAACACTGACAAAACTATAGATCCACCCAACGCTCCAAGTTCCAATACCCGCCCTCTTTCTAGTCGGCTTCATCTGTTGCCTTCTATCGCTCATCAATCTCGGATCGGCAGCTGCCTTCAATCAACTCACATCACTACCCCTCATCGCGTTATACGTATCGTACCTCGTTCCTATCACGCTTCTCACAGCTCGCCAGCTTGCCGGTAGACATCCGAAGTACGGGCCCTTCCAACTAGGCAGATGGAGCGTGCCGATCAAACTTTGCGCCATCGTCTACTTGGTATACGTCATCATCTTTGTTGCGTTCCCAGCATCCAGACCGGTGACAAGCATGACGATGAACTACGCACCAGTGATCTTAATTGGTTTTATGGTCATTGCGATGGTGGATTGGTTTGTTCGGGGTCGCAAGAAGTTTGAGGTACCTACAGCCGCACTCGAACACGCGGAGGAAGAGAGGCCGTAGGTGCGTACTCAGGTATCTATAAGGCTGTATGGTGACATGAATCTGCAAAGGCGGCCCCGTATTTTGGTTACCATGCAAGCCCCCGCCACGAAGCGAGAGCATTTTTGAGATCATTGTCGGGTATGGCACCACTATGCTGTAGACACAAAACCACAACCCTAGTAGGCGAAACCCGGTCTATTAATAACATCTAATCGCTATTGATTCCTGAACGCCTTCGCAATGCAATGTATCTCTCATGAGCCCGGTTCTAGCTGGTTTCACTTCAAAAGCAGCAACATCCCCACTCCCGCCTGAGTACTTAGTCCAAAAGACACCCCAGCCAGCATACCAGGCGAACTGCCCTCTTTGCAGCCTTAAGCAAGATACGAGAACAACATCGCCACCAAGCTGAGAGCAAGGGTAGCCGGTGCAGCACCCATCGCCGACGCACCAGAAGCCTCAGGAACATTGTTCGTAGCCGCGCCACCCATGTACCACGACCCGATATCCGTCAACTCGCCGTCCTGGGTAAGCATCGCAGCGTTTGCACCCACATTGCTGACATCCGATCGGAAAGCGCCGAAGTAAGAGTAATGTGTGATGTTTCTGCGTATACTGTCAGTACATGTTCGATTTCCTGAAGGCATTCAAGACGAGTACTCACGGCCAACTATCAAAGCTCTGCGCGCTCATATTATAGAAACTCTGCGTCTCCTCAAGCGGCTGATTCGGATACCCATACTCCGTAACCCACACCGTCATGTTCGGCCACATCGTCGTAACACGTCCAACATGGCTCATCATACCCTCGAAATTGCCATACCAGTGCACAGGAATGAAGTCGGGATTACAACCGCCGTCGCACTCGTTGAAGAAGTTCTCTAACCACTGCCACCCGGACTCTGCGCCTGTGACACCCGGTGCGCCTAGTTTGATGCCTAGTTCTTTGAGGGGCTCGATTTCGGCTTTCCAGCGTGCGGCGGCGGTGGTGACGGCGAGGTTGGATCCGCCGGTGCTGTGGCCGCCGTCGGGTTCGTTGAAGCCGAGGACGGCGGTTATGTTTGCTCCGTCTTTGATCTGTTGCTTCACGGAGTCGAGGAATGGGGTGCCGGTGTCGCTGTCGCTGGCGCCCCAGAGCATGGGGACGAATTGCATGTCTGGGTTATCTTTGTAGGCAGACGAGGGGTCTTTTTGGTAGTTGTAGTACCATGTTGGTGGTGATGGACCGGTTGTCCAGATCTTGTCGTCGTCTGGGTGGTCATCGGAGGGGACGTAGACGAGGCCGCGTTTTGATGATGTTGAGGCCGTGGATTGTGCGGTTGTGGAGGTTGTGCTCGTGAGCAGCACCGTTGCGGCGCTGAGGAGCGCGGTCCGTCGCATCTTTGTTGTGAGGTTTGTGTGTTGGAGTGCTCTCGGACGTAGCGATGTATGAAATCCGACTTTTTTGGAAGTGGATCTGGGTGTTCGGTACCAGCGATACGAAGATAGGCCGCGAAGGGGTCCGTTGCTGATTGTTTGGTCGCCGTGCGATTGGGTGTCGTTATTCAGGGACACCTCAAGATACCTCTTTGCTCGTCGCAATGGGCAAAGACAAAGTAGACGACAGGAGGCGATCAGGTAGGTAACGAAGCAAGAGTACCTTCCTGGGAATTCCAACTCTTCTAGCCAGCTCAGCCACGAAAAAATTCTAAAGCTGTCAGGAGAAACTTCGAAAGCGTGTCGTTACGCAAGCCACAAAAGCGCCTTTGCAACCGGGCCAAGGCGAGACAATTAACAAGCTGGGTATCGTAAACAGGTCCAGAAGTCCGGGAACGAGAACAGGAAACGAACGATCAGTTACACAGCGAGCGCGCTCCTTCCTAGATAGATACCCGTACGAGTCAAAAAATTGTTAGCTTCCAACGCCGTCAAACGTCACGAACTCAGGTACTTCAGAAAAAAGATGCCTAGGTGCGCTACCAGGCTGGAGATAACAATATAACCCCACCGCCCACCCACGCTACACCTGCACCATGGCTGTTAGTATCTATCGAAAAGAGATAAACCGGCATCTTGGGAGCCGGCTAGATTGCTGCCGCGCCGCTCAGAAAAGCGTAGTGGCGTTGTGCTAGGTAGGTTTTGGAACTTGTGGTGACGCCTACCGTGACGCAGGTACAAGCGCCCATAAGCCCGCGCCACAAAAGGGGACAAGGCACGACCCAAAGTAAATTCTCGGGAGATCGACTTTGCCGGAGGCGTTCGGCGGGAAAAGCGTGGTTTTTAGGTGGGACGAGGGTGATGGAATAAGGATTTACATCGAGCGATCTGAGGGATCGGCAGGTACAAATCTGCGTCGGGCTGTTGAGAGTTTTGCGTCGTTCTCTTCGTTCAGATACTACATGTCGCAGTCCAGGCAAGGTACGTCGCTAGAATGTATTGGCTCAGGGGTGGCGCATGCGAAGTGTGTCCCAACATTTTGGGGCTGCAGCGAGTGTTCAGCTGGCCGGCTGGGTAGCTCTCTGCCTGCAGGGCTTATCGGCGAAAGTTAAGATCGCACGTGCTCTGGACGATTCTAGGCCAGGTGCCGCCGAGCCGCGTGTAGTAAGATCTCAAGACATGGCATTCTCTGGGCAGGCATCACTCACAACCACGGAGAGGTATGTGAAACAGCGATATAACATTTGGGTATTGGTATTTACATCTTTCGCTACATCCTAGTTCACATTGCCGTTCCCATTCCATTTCCAACTCCCCTCACTCCATCCCTTTTCCAACCTTCTTCTCCTTCACTCCACCTTGACGATATAGCAGAAAAGATAGTGGTATGTGTGCGCGAGCCCCAGGCTTACCGCTTTGCATGAGATTACAAGAGCTTGTATCAGATCTTTCTTTACACAAAAAAACTCGATGATGAACACAAGGAAAGATTCGTAAATACACAGACGTGGGGCGCAGGTATGGCCCGGTCCGTGTGCGGGAGATAGATGACTGAGGATATGGTTTGACCGCTCTATGGTTTGTCAAATGCGACCACCGCGATGCAGACAAAGGAACAAAACAAATAGGAGATTATGCCTAGATGGCGAGACGTTTCGCTTCTTTAGGTCTTCGCTCTTGGATGCTTCAAAAGGTTGTTGGCTTAGTAGGCATAGGGACCAGGAGGGCCTCGTGGTTGTTGAGGCTGCCATGGCGCGTTGGCCACGTAGCCGGGTGGTTGGTGGAAGCCAATATCCGCCTCGCGCCCTGGACTGCTTTCGCGACTCAAGTTCCGCTCATGCGTTGCTGTGCGACCGAATGTGGATGCATCGGCGAGCAAGTGTCCTTGGTCGTCTCCGAATGAACGACCACCGGGACCGTTGTATGCGGTGTTCTGATCCGCGAGAGGAACGCGGTCGTAGCCGGCGGTGCGGGGACCGAACGGCGATGGAAGGGAGGTTCGCTTGTACTCTTGGGGGTCCATGAGTAGCGAGTTACGTGCGTCGAGAGGAGTAAGGGTGTCGAGATCACGAGCTTTCTCTGCAGGGGCTGTTAGATGGTGTTGACAAGCAGGGGGGTGGAGAAGACTTACCAGCTGCCTTTCTCTTCTTACGGTGAGGGTTTTCCTTGCAGCAGATGATGATCGCGTTGACTGCGATGAGAATAGCAAGGACACCAGTGAGGGAAGCCTGCACAACGACAAGGACCAGACCGGTGACGGTCTTAGTGGTCTGGCTCATGCCAAGTTCTTCGACGAAGACCAAAATGCAGACGACCGACAAGACGCGAACGACCGAGATGGTGATGTTGATCCAGGTGCTAGACTTGAGCGTGTACGGACGAGCCCAGAGAAGCATGACAAGGAGAAGCGACTCGACGATGAGTTGACCAGCAGCCTGTGCGAGACCGTGGCCATCTGCTCCTGCGATAACGCAACCACGAGCGAACATGAAGATGATGGCCGGTACGAAGATCCACCAGTAGCTCTTCTTGTAGTTCTCGTAGAACATGCTGTACTTGCGCCAGATCTCCTTGTCTTCGTAGAGAGCGTCGGGCTTTCCCTCCATCTTCTTGAACTTGTCTGCGGTGCTCCAAATCTTCCAGGTGAAGAAGGCCAGAACTCCGGTAAATGCGGCCAGAGTAACACCAGCAAGTGTCTTGACAGCCCACGAGTCTCCGTTCTTGAATTGGTAGACACAGTAGAGAACCCAGATACCGTAGAGCAGGAGGATCAAGTTGGTAATCGTCTTGGCCAGAGTCCACCAGTATCGCTTACGGAAGCTGGTCAGTTTCTTCGGGAAGCTGCCAAAGAGTGCCCATGTCTCCAGAATGACCTTGAAAAGGAGGATACCAACGGTGATGGCAGC